AGAGGCGGGGCGGGGTGGGAGTGGGAGTGGGGCGGGGGTGGGGACTCCAGTAAGACGCTGGAGTATAGAGTCGGCGGAGAGCGGATGAAGGGGGTGGGGCGGGGAGGCGACTCCAATACAATGCTGGAGTAGAGATTCGGAGGAGTGGGTGGGGGTGGGGGTGGGAGCTCCAGTAATACGCTGGAGTAGAGTCGGAGAGCGAATGGAGGGCAGGGACGGGGGGTGGGGGTGGGGACTCCAGTAATACGCTAGAGTAGAGAGGTGGAGTACGCTGGAGGCGGAGCGGGGCTGGGGTGGGAAGAGACATTGGGTGTGACCGGCAACGGGGCAGTGTGGTAGTTATTTCAACCAGGGTACTTCCCACCTGATATATGTAGGTCGAATCTTGGCAGTGAATCAAACGAAGAAAAAAATCCGGAAGTGTGATAGAATTGGGTCATACTGCGAGCCCAGCTGCAAAGCCCGGGAGAGGAAAATTGGCGTAGAATAGCGCCCGCACGCAGGATACAGACTGAGCGTCGAGGGAGTGAATCAGCACTGCGAAATCGTAGAACTAATGGGCGACCAAGGGCGTCAGACAGGCTCCAGTGGCAGTGTAGGTAACGGTTGTGGTGCCTTTGGCACACGCAACCAGCGTTCTTTCAAGATGCCGTAACAACCACAGGACAGAGCGATGTACGGCACATTGCTAATAATATTGTCGGTATTCCACCGCTCCACTAAGTAATAACGCAGTCACGGTCACGATCAAGCTCAAGGCGAAACCCAAGGCCCAGGTCAAGGTCAGTCAAGGTCCGTCACGGTCAAAGTCACGGTCAAAATCAAGACCATCCCAATGGCCACTAACCATCACATCCCGCCCCATCCAATTTTTTTCACCTCTTAAGTCCCACCCAACCCAATATCTCCACCTCGTATCTCATAACCGGTCATTTTTCTTTAGCGCACCACGGACCTCGACCGCGGAGCCATCGCCAGTGATGGACCACCGCCGATTTCCATTTCCCGGCCATAGCCGGCCGGCCTGCCGACTTGTTGAGTGCCCCCCCCCCTCGAGACCCCCCCTCAGGTCGTCCCCAGCGACCGAGACCCGATCAATGATCAGATTCGGTCGCAGAGTACCGCCAGAGCAGCTAGCGAGTCTCTCGAAAACAACGGGAAGGTAACGGGAATGATACGACTGAGTCGACTGACGCTATTGTATGTAGAGCTAGAGGCCATGTAGGCAGTCATGGAAGTAATGTGGAACTAATTTGGTAGCAATGACTGCTAACTGCGTGAAAAAAATACTAATTGATTAGCAGGTATTCACGTAAGCGCATTGTTCAAAATAAATGTAACAATATGTAATTTGCATGGCAGAAATATAAGTTTCTTCTCACTGATATAAATTTTGACGTCAAATGCCGTGAATCCAAGACAACCTTTCAGTGAGATTGGGTCCAGAGAGATCTGACTGACTCCGGACTCGGCGTTCCTTTTCGTTTATTTATCCTCAGGAGTTTTGTGGGAGTTTTATTTTCACAGCGTGATGTCTGTAAGAATAATAAACAGAACACCTAGAAAAGTTTCATACCATATCATGCTCTGTAAGCTGTTCTCGTATTTCTTACGGGCGTTATCCAAGTTGCAATCTGCTGTTGAGTCCGATCAGTCTTTAGCATTGGTAATGCAGTTTGTCATTACAAGTGTATAAAGGTGAGTCTTACTTGCACTGCCTTTTGCCCGTAACGATGATTGGTCGGATATGCACACCACCAACCCTGCTTAAGAGTGAAGAGTTAAGTTGACAGCTGTGGTGAAGCGGAACGAGGATATTACAGGATGCGATTCTGATAAAACCGCATCCTTCGGAGGCATAGAAACACGTTTTTTCAACTAGTGATAAGCTGCATTGGTCATTTTTCCATGAATATTCATTTCGACTCAAAACATCCATGAGCGAATGCGAATACAACTTAAGAGCCTCCAAGGTCACACAACAACCTTGAAACTCGCCGCAAGCATCACAAGTCACCTTGAGACGGCATCCCCAACAAACCACCTCAGACGTCTCCACATCCCTACAACGATCCCTAACTCCCTTCTTCAGACGTCTTCAGACGTCTCCCGTATCCCGCCCCCTCTCGTAACCTCCCATTCAAACGGCAAGTCAGCGTGATCTCGCTGTAGGACCCCCCCCCCCCCCCCTCCCCCAACACTCTTAACGACTTCAGGGTCGCTTCTGACCACAGTACACACACACTCGAGCTACCAATCAGGCGGCGAACGCCCGACAGCTCATGGCCAGCGCTCACAAGTGCCGAGTCATTGTTAAAAAAGTTATATGAGCCGCTGGACCGCAGGCCCAAGTCATGTCACAAGGGTAGGGTTTAGAGTCAACGTCAACAGCACTGGCTGAAATTTGGTCGGTGTAAACTGGAAACAAGTGCAAAATGATGATCAGCAAATATGCAACTGTGTGCAAAATACCTACCCCTCAGTCCAAACCAGCTGAAGCGAATACACATAATAAGGAAACCATTGAATGAGAGACTACACATCAAATTGTTACAACTCTCATCAACAAGCATGACAATCATCACAGAAAGTGTTTGGTATTAATCGCATCAGTTGAAGGAGGAGTCATTGGTGGCAGAAAGATTCCGATAACATCCAGTTCCGGCTGGTTCGATCTGGTTTGATCGAGATAGCGGAGACTGGCGGACGGATACGACAGGACAGATCGAGTCGGGTCGGGTCGAGTCAGGTCATGTCAGGTTAGGTCATGTCAGGTCAGGTCAGGCGATGTTGATTCCAAGGGGCGTGACAAGCCCGGGGTGCGTCAGGGTAGGATTTTGTTCAGGATAGGTGCCGTGGGTCAGCAATGGGACGTGATAAAACGGCGCAGAACGCAGAACGGCAAATACAATTAAGCCAGCACTGATGAGATTCCACTAACGTTACCAACATTACCACGCAGAGCGCAAATTACATAGAGATATAGTGGCCAAGGTCATGCAACTTCATAAAAAAATGGCGCCTGTCTGCGCTACCAATCGCTACCCATTCATTCAGAGCTCGCCCGAGAAACGCCACCCCAAATCGCGCACCCTGCGACCGGCGACTTCCCGTCCTATCCGACCCCACCCACCTCCTCACCAATCCCCCCCCCCCCCCCCACCGACGTCCGACGCGGAACGGCCATATCGGGTCTGTCAGATGCTGTCATTGGATCTGACAGCCACTGAGCGGGCGACAGTAGTGCGCACTTGGGCAGGCCGCAGGAGGAAGTGGCACGGGAAACCACTGGCAAGGCGGCTAGTGCGTTAGAGGAGACGTAGACGCAGGGGTTCCTCGTGGATAACGAGTCTTTAATCCCGGATCCGTTACCGTCTATGGTTTGAGTGAATGTGACAAGATATTATTTCATCAGTTGACCCTTCATTTAGCAGTACCATCAACAAGTTATCATCAGAATTTAAGTAGTGAAATTATATACCTAACCGCAAACCAACTCCAGGATGACTGGGACGCGTTCGTTGATCACATACACCCAGCAGACTGTATCTAGCGGCGCGCACCACCACACCGAATCCGCAGCTTGGCAACTACCGTACCCTTGGCCTTGACAACCAGCGTCTTGCAAATCAGCGTTACCAGACTTCTCAGGTCCATGGTCAATAGCTGTAAGCAATATGTGGAGGAACACAGAGGAACTCTTGTATCATTCATGCTTCGTTTTTAAATACCTCGTCTTGCTCTAAATGAACACAACTGCAAGCTATTCATGCCCTAAGCCCATGCTGCTGACCTTTCCTAAAAAAGCATTCATTCAGCCACATTTGGCGTGTAAAAAGCAGTATTCTTCAATGTGCGTGCCGTCTCCGACACATATTGTTTATCCTGTTGAGAAAACGACCGAAAGTGCGCCTGAGAGGCGAGTCAGTGAGCCAGACACGCCCCCTCCCCCTCCCTCCCTTTCTGAGCGAAACCGTGTCTGCACCGTGGGAGATTGAGATTAGACAGGCAGAAATACTAAATCAAAATATTGCTTTAAATTCCATATATCAATATGGTTGGAAATATATGGTTCCAGAACGAAATACTATCAACATTTGATTTGATGCCCAACATGAAAAAGAAGCCTAACGAAACAAAGACAATGACTGATGACAGCAAGATCAATCGCAATGTGTGCGGCTTGGTGAAAGCGGCAGGACCTGCTTTCGCTGCCGACTTCGCTCAGCCTAACATGAAGTCATCGCGCAGGTGGAAATATATGTGAGTAGCAGAGCTTCCTGAAGAAATTTGAAACTGATATCCACGTAGCCTCCAGCTGCGTGGAGCAAAATGTTTGAAGAAACAGAAAGCCAAACAATGATTCTAGATTCGATTAGAAACCGAAACGTAGCACACGCGGAGAGCGGTCGCTGACTTACAGTCAACAGTTTCACCATTGCGTACGTGCACCTGCGCACAGTACGAACAAGTTCTATAGTGAATCTCATATTTTAGCCTTTTCCTCACTCGGACAGAAGTATAGACACTCATCGACGACAAATAAAATATAACTATAGCGCTCTGCGCTGACCCTCTGAGATGCCACGGTATTGCGGAGACATCACTCACAGGAAAACCAATCCACAGACGACGGTATGCACGGGAACAGGACTGGTGCCCGAACGAGCTATAGGCCTGACATCTATCGTCCAACAGGACAAACTAGGACAGATGGCGCCAGCTGTCGGCAACAATGAAGATCCCAGGCTCACTCCCAAGTGCCCAATGCCCCACATAAACCACCTCGCCCTACGAACAGGTTCATATCATCATGCTAGGCTTTATCATTCTAGTCATATCTGTTATGGTCAACTGCTTACAATGTTGCATTTCCTCTTCACGTCTAACAAAATAATAGCCATCTACCAACAAGAGTAAGCAGAAAGTACTGTCCCATTGTTTGCTTGATGGCAAAAATTTATGCATATAAACAAAGTACTGACATTCCCTGAACTCACCTGAGCCAGTTTTGCCTTCTTGTTCCTCGGTTCTGTGCCATCCTCCACAGGATGCTCCGATTGCCCCTGGATAGGCTGTTGCGGCATGGCTTGCCAGCTGGTTGTGACTAGATGAATGAGTATTAGAAGTGATTAAGATGCACTTGTTTAGTGAGTGCCACCTGCAACATACAACATCAATGCTGATTTATTGCCCTGAGATCCAGTGATAAGATGTTGTGATGCAATGCATAGGTAGGTGGTTTCTTGATCATAAAAGCATGCCGAAGGACTTCCAAATAAGAAAAGCCAATGTGGTAGGCTTAGTTTTCAAAAGCTGATAATTACTTATTTTAATACCTACCTGACGGCAAAAAATCCATTACAATTAGGTACCTAATTAACATGATGCTGCCGGTTGAGTAGTAGGTTCGTAGTCAGCACCATATTCTTCAAATAGGGGGATCAGTGAGAGGTAATGGTTACAGAATAAAGCAAACTGCTATTAGCACAGTACCTTTAACAAAGCTGGCTCAAATCCACATCCTGATCCCTAGGATGAGAACAAATCCATGTTTCCGTGAATCAATCCCAATCCATTCAGAATCACTCAAAACATACCATTTAGCAGGGAGACTACTTCAACTTACCAAAGTGTGACTAGCTTGAGAGTCTCCTTATCTTGCAACAAGACAGATGTCCTAGCAATAACTTCGGATCCTAACTAGAGGCTGTTGTTGTTGTTGTGTTGTTGTGGGTTAGGGCGCGTAGCAACTTGGCTCTTGCGTCCAACCCTAACTAGAGGCGCCAATCCAACGCCAAACACATTCAACACACGTATTTTGCCCCGTTGGATTTTGTAGCAGCCGCGCCAGAATAGCACCAACGTATTATCTTCCAAATTAAAAAATAACTTTTCCAAAGGAAGGGAATGAAGAAAAATGCGCTATGACATTTCCTTCTGTCCGACAGGAGGTACCTATGTCAGTAGGTATTTGAAGTTTGAACTACTAAAACTACCCGAATAGCTATAAAACTAGCAAAATCGACGGAACTAATCGAAATCAATGACCTTCAGCTGACCTTCACGGGACCACAAGGCACGGGTAACAATATGCGAATGATCGAATCCGAACTATGGGCTACCTCAGGCTCAGCCCGGCGCATAGGCGCGGGAGCCGGGGCCCGGGGGGCAGTGGGGGCAGCTTGCTCCCCAACTCTGGGGCCGTGGGGGCGTTGCCCCCACAGCTTTGAGACGGAATACCACACTTTTTTTTGCAAATGTTTTCTTTTTTGTTGAAAAAGCCAAGGAATGAAAAATAAGTGGCCTAAAACCGGTGAGAAAACTAGATTTGGGGGTACCCTAGGTTGATCTCTATTATGGTGTGCCCCCCAGTCTGAACGTAGTTCCCGCGCACCTGGCCCGGCGCCGAGGTACCTAAGTCGTCGTCGATTGCGATTTGCAAAATCCTATGTCCGCGGACCGCGGTCACACTCACAATGTCTATGTGGTATTTGTTATTAGTCTTCTGCCACCCTTAGGCCTTACCAAGTCAAGTACCCGTTCCAAGCCAAATAACTCCGGGCGCCCGGGCCTTGCATTTATGGGGTGGGAATCGAACGGACCCCTCTTGGTTTTTCGCGAATAACTCGCGCAAAAAGAGGCCAATCGCGACGAAACTTTCAGTACCTCAACCCGCGCCCTGCTGGGGGGGGGGGGGTGTTTGAACACCCCCCTTGTGGTTTTTGGCGAATATCTCAAAAACGGCGGCGCGGAGCGCCGCCGTTTTTGGTACACCTTATCATACATCAATTCTACACATGTTGTGAAAATTTCAGACCAAGGTCATTCAAGGTCAGGTCACCAGGTCACTTGAAGTGACCTCACCTCATAAAAAGTTTCAATGTCTGTCATAGCTACACCGAGTGACCGATCGCTTTGAAACTTTCAGCGATTGCTAAGAGCAATAGCATGTACAAAATGTATCTCTCAGAATTTTGATATCGATGACCTAAGGTCAGGTCAATTTTGCGACCTCCCCATTAGGGGAGAGTGGGGTAAGATGCCCAGGGTGGGAAAGACGCCCCACCCCCTCTAGCGACGAAACAAAGAATCGGTCCTGGAAATTAATGTTCTTAGCGTAAAGCGGAAGCCTGCCTTGTTAACAGCACAAAAAATTGCGAAGCTCAGTTGGGCAACGGCTGGCTGATGACTGCATATTTTTTATTTGCTGCTTTCAAAAAATATTTTGGTGTCAGAACATTGTAAATATCAAAGAAGGTAAATAATTTTTGCGTCCCTTGCTATAGTCGTGATACATTAGCATGCGTGTACTGTGTCCCAAATAGTTTGTTTCATGGTGTAGTTTTATGGCTAACAAATTGTACTGATTTAATGTTACTTCGGTACCTTGGGGTAAGATGCCCCCTGTCCTGATGGGGAAAGACGCCCCCCTAAATCCGTAGGCTGTCCTTCAAACAGCCCGTCAAATCGTTTATTACTTACTTGTGATGTACCTAGACAAAAGCCGATCTGGGACTATTGAGAGTCCAGTACGGTCGGGTGCTCCCCATGCCGGTCTCTCGGCCCACATAGCGGCTTTTTGGGCGGCATCTGACTCTGAGAGCCCTCACGACGGCCTCTGTGGGCCCAATTATTGGCTCCAGGGCCCCTCACGACATCCTTTGAGGGCTCCCACGTTGGCCCCACGGGCCGCACTGGCATCGGAGGTCCCCACGATGGGCGCGAGGGCCCTCAAGCATCATGAAGACCTATAAGAGCCCCACAGTGGTCTCCGAACGCCACCACGGAGGCTTGTTTGGCCGCGCTGGACTATGATGGCCCTAACGATGACCTCTGAAGCCCCTTACGACTACTTTTGAGGGCCCTTATGATGACGTTTGGTGTCTACTGCAGGCTCGAAGGGACTACTGATTCGTTCAGGCGATTCACGTGCCCATTTATGTCACTTATAGTGCAGGGGGCATCTTTCCCAACGTCAGGGGGCGTCTTTCCCACCCTGTGGGGTAAGATGCCCCCTTTCACTTCTTCAGGAAAATGCTTAATAGCAAAAAAAGTAATAATATTTCAGGCACGAAGGTGTGATATTTTTGGAGAAAAATGATGTCGGCTTCCGTTGAAACTCCAAGTGTTTGCTTTCCCATCGTCATTTTCGAATAATATATGACATAGTAAAACCCTGGGCATCTTTCCCCACTCTCCCCTATAAGTCAATGGGAGAAAATTGAAATGCGCCTCTTTTGGACGAAAGACTTATAAACACTCCCAAACACTGAATCACAAGTGGTTTAGACACACTGAACATGAAAATGGTGTCCGTGACCCCTGTTTATGCTCTGAGGTCATCTTAGGTCACGAATGGTATCTAACAGTTTTTCGCAAATAACTTTTGGTAGAGGCATGCTAGAGCGATGAAAACGCCTTAGATGTGTTCAGCTCGACGATACGGATCGACTGATATGCAACATGACCCTTTCCGGTCAGGTCATGACATTGACCTGAGGTCAAATTTTCAAGTTGACCTTTCAAGGTCAAGTTATAGTTCATTCGATGCGTCTTGACGAGAGGAACACGATGCCGGTAAAAGTAAGCTCGTACAAGGCTTGGGTCAAAAGTTATTGCAGAAAAACTGTTTCCGAAAAAAATCGGCTATTTTCGCAGTTTTTGCCCCCTGCAGGCAAAACTGTTGACGTTAGGTCAAATCTGAGAGAATTACTCAGAAAGGGCGTTAATAGGGCTATCGAATGCGCTTTTCCGCGGCACTGTAGCTCTATTGGTTCCCGAGTTATGCGTTGGCTTCTTGGAAATTGTCGACATTCGACCTGGAATTTGGCGAAATTTTGCCTTGAATGACCTCTGGTGACCTGACCTTTGACCTGACCAAAAAATTGACCGAAGTGATTTCCTCATTATTTTTTACGCTCTTTCGAACGCCGCCTTCCACGTATCGCTACGTGGCCCAGGAGCCGAGTTAGAAGGGGGGGGGGGTGTTCAAACACCCCCCCCCCCAGCAGGGCGTGGAAATCCAGGACCCCCAGCCGGGCGCGGGTTAAAGTCAACCAATTTTACACATACCCTGATAATTTCATGAAACTGACCCAAATGACCTTTGACCTGTGACCTATTCCTCGGACCATGTTTGGCCGGAATCGCGATTGGACTATGTCGGCTCACATTAGTCGCGCGTTTGCATCTTTTGGTGGTCTCAAACGTTCAAACATGTGAAATGCTGGTCAGTGGTCCCATGCATTATGGTACGTGATAAGGTCTCGTGAAGTGAAGGTCAGGACAGGTCAATGACCTTTGGTGACCTTGGTTCACTTTTTCGAGTTTTACATGTCTCTGGGCTAATTTTGGAGTTGATTTCGAATTTAGAAACCATTTGAACATTTACAAACAAGTTCTTGAGCCTTTGTAACATGTTACGAAGCTGTCTGTGGTGGTTGGCAGTTGGCACCTCAGCTGGTCAACTCACCTGGTTAACTCACCTGGCTGGGTTCCCAGTGTCGTTAAGGAAGTCGGGAAGGAAGTGAGAAGTGGGTATGAGGAACAGGAACCCTGAATCCTAGACGCACCAGCCAAAGTTGAGTTCTTGTCTGGGGAAGATTATGAAGTACGAAGGCTGGAGTTGAGCGTCTTCCGTCTTCCATGATGAGACACGCATGAATACCTACAAGGCACTTAAAGGTAGTGTGCCACCTTTGAAAGATTTCCCATTTTATTTTTCCTAGGATAAGAAGCTTCTGTTTTTACCTAATATCGCAAAAAAAAAATCAAAAATGGGCCTGGAATAGTGCCTTTTTCGCCTAAAAGTTTTTCGGTTTTTAGATATGTATAACAACTGTAGTGGGCTCACCTGCAAACAGGCGTCGGGCAACAATCGCGAATGCGGCGCACTTGTGACAATAAGCAAAGGTCATTATAGTGTTACGACCATACGACGTACGGGAATGAGTTATCAGCTGTCTAATCGTAGACAACACAATGTCGAGCCTTAAACTGTAAGCCCGTATTGTATTGTTTCTTTTATTTGGCTGTCGAACATTATTTATGGTTTGAAATATGATTTTATGTAAAATAATTGATATGAAAAAGCCGTCTTATAAGTTATGACCCCATTTCACCACACGCAAGTGGCAGAAATGACAATGATCAGCTGACGCATTTTTCTTGGCCGAGGTCAGAGCGCGCGGCCCGACGCACCACGCGTATTTGGAAATTCCGACCTCGACGAGCATCAGAAGCCACCTAACAGGCGTGTTCGAAACCGCAGGAGATGATGATGAACGGGTTTATCGAAACTTGATTGGATGAGCATATCGGTAATAGCGATTTCAGTGTGTGCATTTATTGTTCATAGTGGTGTGAAATGTGGTTGGGGTACGACCGACAACCCGTCGGGGCGAATTTCGCACTGGGGTACTCAAAATTTGAAGAATTTAAGACGTTTCCATGAGTTTTGAAGGTATGGATAAGTTCTAAAAATCCGGTTCTCCTTATCTGGGCCATTAACTCCATACGGTCCAAGAAAGCTGGCACACTACCTTTAAATACAAAGTAACGAACACAAGAGTACGGTACGGTAAACAGCAACACAATCATAAAAAGACAAATGATAAGCAGCATATACAGGGTGTCCACGCCAAAAGTGTACCCAGCCTTTTCTCCATATTTTATCTTAAAAACATCACACTCACGAACAATTGCCCTCGTTGGAGAGCCAAGGCAATGACAAAACATTTGCTATGCTTTTCAACTGTGTTCGGCACTCTGCTGACCAGCGCGTGCCGTCTGGAGCAACTGCTCTATATTTTCTATATAGGTACACTTACACGATTCAATGACGGTTTTTCGTCCAGCAGATTTTCGTCGGACAATTTTTCGTCCGCAGATTTT